CTTGGCTTTGTTTTGTTTTGTTTCAGTGAAAAATGACATATCCAATTGCCATTCATAAGCTAAAAATTACATACTATTTGTCCCCACTGTAAAGATGAGGAAACCAAAGTTGGAAGAGACTGTTTCCACAAAACTAGCAAATGTCCTAAATCAGGTCCTGTTAAAATAGGTTTCATATATAATATGAAAACTTATGGGGGGGAGTAGTATTACAAACCAATAAACACAATTAGAGAAAATGTGACATTTGGACAAATCTGTATAATTATTATCTGATCATCATAATTATTCATGTAAGTGCACTAGACATTATACTGGAAGATTTGCACCTTGCCTGATTGGGACTGTGCCACTTATTTTTAACACTCAGTTTTTAAATATAGGGAATGGGAATTTAACTACCTGCTTCTAGACTAGCTCGCCAATGAACCCCCTGTATGAACTCCTAAAAGATAGTAAATATTTGTTGCATAAATAAATGAAATCAGTATCTCATGGGCAACTGTATAAAGTGCTTGGTAAGTATGAAGTTCCCCATCAATTGGAGGAATGATAATTGCAACTCTCTCAACTATGATGTATTTCTCCCCATTGAAAATAGAAGTTCCCATATAATTATTTATAGGCAGGAGCTACTTTTAAAATTGCTCTCCCCTATACATTTGAGAAGTGCTTCCATTAGCATTTTATCAGGGTTGATTTTCATCTCATTGTGGCTGCTCCTTAGTCAGGTGATTGGCTTCTTGCTGTGATCCACTGTAAAAATTTAGGTCAAGGGTCAGCTGACTTTTCTCATAAAGGCCCAGATAGTAAAGAATTTGCTCCTGGGAGTCATAGGGTCTCTGCTAAAACTACTATATTCTGAACTTATAGCACAACATCAGACAGATCATATGCACAGGAATGATCTTAACGGTGTAATAACAAACAAGACTTTCTTTACAAAAATAGATGGCAGGATGAATTTGGCCCAAAGGCCGTCTAATTTACCCACCTCTGAGAATTATCTGATAGATACTAGATCTTTATAGGTATCATGTTTCTTCAAAAGAATCTATCACTTCTTGTGATTTGTGCATAATTAAAGTTAGTAGTACTTTTGCTGAAGCAAGGAAACTCAACTGAGTTTTATACTAGAAGCTAATGCATGACATATTCAAGTTTTCGCAACAATAACTGTTTCATGACATGTGAGTGTGAAGCGGCACACTTGAATGATCCTTGCCAAGTGGATAATAATTGGGAAGGCCACCAGTCAGAGCCTTGTTTAGAAATGAAGACAGAGTAGGACAGAGTTAGGGGTTGAGAGGGAAAAACATATCCAGGTGGGAGAGAAACATATGTGAAGCCACAGGACAAAGCAAACAAAAGATGCATTTCATTTATCTGCTTATAAAAAACTGTTCTGTTGGTAAACAACAAGAATAAAAAAACAGAGATTTGCTTAAGACTGCTCCCTCCAAGTTATTCCTTTGGTTGTTCACATTACAAAACCTAACAACTAGAAATACAGCAAGACAAAAAGTCCTCAAATGCTATTTCTATAGAAAGATGATTTGAGGAAATAAATCCAACCATATGCCTCTGCCAAAGAGGAATTTTATTATGTGACAGGTCATACATTAAAAATAAACTCAAAAGAAAGTTCCTGTTGTTCAACAACGGCTTAACCAACCAAAGTCCAGGAAGTAAAATCCTACACAAGAAGAGGAATATCTGGAGTCTAAGACCCAGGCACAAGAATTTCTGGACCTGCCAGCGATGCTAAATGACTTTCATTCTATAGTCCATGCTGGCTAGTCACATGGCTGCCTCTTGCACAGTCTTGAATTGACAGTACTTGCAACAGCAACATCTATCAAAATGCAGCTGGCTTTAGCGGGCAGGTAAAGTTCTGTAGCCAAATCTCTTTTCTTATTTTCTCTTTTGTAGAAAGAAAAGTTAGTTTTAAGGTATATGGGGAAATAGCTAACCCACATGCTTCCTCCTTGGAAAAGCCTCCTGTTTGCCCTGGGGTTAGAGTATTGCCCTTTCTTCATGAAAAGCTATTCTCACTGCTGGGAATATTCAAATATCTCCCAGGGTGGGAAAAACAGAAGGGGCCACAGAGGGAGACTCTCTTTGCCATTCATCTTGAAAAACAAGAGATGAGGTAGAGGGTGGGACAAGACCTTGGTTCATGAATTCATTTAAGAATTTATTAGTTAAAAGAAAACTTTGGTTTCTAGGGATTGCCTTGTAAAATACACATTTCATTTCCAAAGCCCCGCAACACTGGCATACTTCTACTTTTACGAATTCTCTGTCTTTGAATAATGTGAGCAATTGAAGAGAAAAAAGGCTTTATTAGTAGAAATGGAAAAAAAGAAAGAAAGTAAAGAAACAAAGCAAATGGACAATAACCTACCGTATAATTTTATATGGTAACACATTAGCTCTCTGATTCTCTGCGACTCTATCAGCTTTAAAACCAGAGAAACCCATTACCTGGAATGCTTGAACAAGTAGATTGAAAACACTTCTCAGATTGACGTTAATTACAATTAGTAAAATGCTTGGTTTCTTTGAAAACACGCAAGCCTTTTACTGTCCTTTTACTGGAAGACTGTGATGGACTTTGTCTTTGATGGGAAATACAGAGGCAAGTGCTTCAGCCCAGCAAGGGTGGGGACAAGATGCTCTGGGGCTCCTCTCATCCCTTGCTCGGGACTGTGGTGTGCATTCTTGAAGACAGAGTGACATCTAAAGGGATTTTGAAATAGCCAGGGCTTGCTGCATGGCAAAGTCAAGGGCATGTCATATTTTGGAAAACTGATGAGTTTTCAGGTTTCATGTGCATGATTGTCCCAAGTAACCATGAAAAGAGGATCAAATTCCGATTTTAATGACATGCCTCGGGGTGCCCTCAGGACAACTGCCATTTTTATCTTAGATTCTGCAGGTCCTCGGTGAACAAAAGGGGGAAAAATCAGCTTTGAATAGATTCCTTACGCTCTTGTCAAAAGTAATCCAACTCTGAATATCTATATCCCCAAAATATCACCATGCAGGCAGCTTCTATTAACCTGAAGAATTAATAGAGCAGAATATTTAAAATGGGGTTTCAGTTATTGATTCTCCAATTAGACCTTGTGTTCCCTAGGTACCTCGTGGAATAATGTTTTTGCTTGGTCTCCCACACTTGCTAGCTTACTCTCTTTCTCTCTCTCTCTCTTTCTCTCTCTCTCTCTCTCTCTCTCTCTCTCTCTCTCTCTCTCTCTCCCTCCCTCCCTCCCTCCCTCCCTCCCTCTTTCCCTCTCTTAGTGTCTCTCTGCTTTCTCTGCTTCTCCTAAGCACGCATACTTAGAAAAACACATGTGGTACATAATGGCCAACTCTGGGAGGCAAGGGCAGCATTTGCAGATTCTGACATGCTTTTGAAAAATATCCGTCATTCCCAAATTTAGTCCTTCCCAAGCTCATAATCCCCACTCTCTTTTTTTTCTGCACAAAGTCATTTTTTTATTTTGGACTTGACTGCCTCGATCCATGGCAGCTTAGTCAGAGAGCCAGGCCTGTGTGCTTGTTAACAGCACCCTGATGCTAACAATGAACTAATTACTTTTACTACTGATGTGCCCTAGGGCATTATTTTCTTTCTGTGTGCTTTCCTCCTGAACTATTGTCATTACTCAATCAGAGGACTGAGGGAAGCAAAAAACAAATAAATAAATAAATTGAAATTAAAATTAAAAAGAAAAGCAGAATGCATTCTCATCAGCAGGGCTGGAGCTGGAGTCCTGTACTCTGGGTCTTGTGTTCTTCAGTTTCTTTAATTGTGTACTCCTTGAGAAGTGAAAGTGCCTTCTGATGCATTTTTACTTATTTATTAAAAATAGTAGAATATCATGCCAGGCTCCTGGGATAGTCTCGCACATTTATAACCATGATGCCCTAGTGAACTGCATGAGCACGGATCAGCTGCAGAGCGGCGGCGGAGTTAACCCTTTCTTCTTAACAGAAGCTGTGGCCAAGTGCTAAAACAGTTTGTGGTGTATTCCTGTTACCGTAAAAGCGCCTCTGGAAAAGAGGCTGTGTGCCTTCCTCCATTTGCACAATAGCCCTTCTAGTTTTATTGGAGTTGGGGGCTGTGAAAGGGAGGGGAGCAATGAGAAAGGACCACATTAGCCCAGAGAAAGCTATGATAAGAGAACATTTACATGGGGTGTCATTTGCAGCCAGAGCAGAATTTTGCCTGAAGATAGAATTTGCTCACACAACTGATTTTCTATGATTGTTTTCATATAAAACACCCACCCTAGACCCATTCACACATCTAACCCAAACAACATTACACTTTCATGTTAAAAGAAGTTGGCAAGGAAAATTCCGAATGAAACAGAGAACCTCAGGCACTAACATGGCAAATAATGACAAGACTTTCAGCTAGTCCTAATAAAGGAGATTAAAGCAACAAGGAACCTAAGATGCACATTAATAAAACAAGCAGTGAAAAATCATAAACTTCCTATCCTTATAGAAGCACATCTTTATGCTTCAACTAATCACTTGCCGATGCTGTCTTCTTTATTTTTCAACACTTAGAAATATATTGCCATAGTAGCAAGATGATGGTTACCTAGCCAGAGTGTTCTTGACAGTATGACTATTTTGGTTGTTGTTTTGAAATAAGTAATCTTTCTTATTCGGTCACTTTTCATTCAAGGCTATCTCAATTAGAGGAAGAATCAATCACCATGTGTTGTGTTCAGAGGCTGCCCAGTTTCCCAGAGCTGTCAATGCCCACGCTTGGCCTCAGAGGATTGCAATCCTGATAAGAAATCCGAAATGTAAAGGCTAGGCATGGGAAATCTTAGAACTGGAGGCAATAACAATTAGGATACTGTTTATTCGTTCAGAGACCAATGTGTAGGAGCAGAAATCAACCAGCTTCCTATTAATAATGCAGTTTGAACTTAGTTGCAAAAACATCGCTTCAGTCTGAGTTGGAGAGCCTCATTTTGATTCTTTTGTCTCCCAACAGTTATTTCACACTAAGATGCTGAGTGCTAAGCTGTTTTCCTGTCAAAGAGAAACTATGCTGATAGAATAGGTCTTTGTTCGCCTTTCTTTTCGGGAGTTGAGTGATAGCAATGTGAAAGAAGCAAGAAACAGGAGGAAGGAAGCAGGTTGAGGACTTCCTTCGGCTCTCACGCTGCTCTCTCTGCACCACACAATTTGTAAGTCCCGTTTAGTTCTTGCTCTGATAGAAAAACGGTGTTTTTATGTTGCAATATCAGAATTTTAGGAAGCTGTTTCTATTTTAAAAAGCCAACATCTGGAAGGTAGGATTTATAATGAATAAAATAGTCAGTAATGAAAATTGTATCCATATAAATATCTCTGAAAAGGATTGGAGGAGGCTATAACACTTGGGTGTCTTTCAATAGCTTGAAGTTGAATCATAAAAGCAAATGTGAGCCAGGGCATAGGTCTAACTAAAGAACAAAAACTGTAAACCATCTTAAATTGTAAAATCGAAGCATTACTGAAAACGTGCTGACTTTGTGTTTTTAAGCAGCCAACGGGCCTATGATTAGAAAACAGAAAGCCGAGGATTCCACAGTGTGTTTCAGTGTGAGAGAGGAGAGCAAAATGGAAGAGCATTTAGGAGAGTGGCCATTCGATGCTCTTTGAACTGCAGTTCTGTTATCCAGCCAGACCTCTGTGGGTTTTTGCCTTCATCAACTAGATCATGGACTTGATTAAGACATAAATTTTATCTTGGTAAAAAGTAAATGAGGCTTGAGCAATGTGAAAATTTGCATAATGTTTTTTAAATAGGATTTTCTCAGGAATTTCCATACAAGGTTTGTGAATTATTCAGCTTCAAGTCTGGACATTCCACTTTTGAAAGATATGATTGGTTAGAATTAAAATTAGTAATCTAAAATATTCCCATAGATCACACACAATTTTTAAAATTGTGTATGATTCAGGAAAAATGAGTATAGAACCAAAAATGAGAAGAAAAGCTAAATGATTTTCTACATTAGATTAATTCCATGAGTCTTACAAAGTCAAAAACTGGGTCCCATTCACTCTTGCTCCTCAGTAAGATGAGGGTTATTAATAGTGCTAACGGAGTAGATGCAAAATGTTTTTTTGAGCTGTACAACATCTGCCTAAGTCCTCACAAACTGAATGATGCATGCATTGGTCAAGTTCTATATACTAGTCATTTGCACACACTCATTCATTTCATGAGTAGAAAATATAGGATATAATTATGACATTCGCTGGATTTAGCTGAAACTAATTCTGTCCAGAATTACTAACAATTTCCACCCTGCACACTACAAAGCCTTACCCTGCTAGATGGACAGTATCTTTTCCCACTCCTAATTTTAACTTGAAAAATCACATCTCTGGAAACCCAATAACCTTTTTTTAAGAGTAGGAACAATAAAAAGATATATAATATATTCAGTTCCTAGCAGAGTGAATCACTGAGGCAACTTGCAAGATATGAAATGTATCTCTTACAGCTTAAACTTGGTTCTGTCAGAAAAGCAGTATTAAAATAGCAAGCTGATTGAACAACTGTGGGAGGGAAAAGAAAGGCATTAGCAAGCACATGAGTGAAGGAAAAAATAACCCTAAATACTGTCTTCATGAATGTAGAAGGAGATGGATTTTATCAGAATGAAAGGCTGAGGTTTTACTTAGTGAGCAATCTCAAAAGAAAAATAAATTAATTTCCTTTGGAATTAGTGAAGCTAACAATACCCAGACAATGCTGGCACCTACCCAGAACCTTCTTTCAAAACATCTTAGAGTGTTTTATTTCTTGCTGTAACTATAAATTAAGAAAAGTCAGTATCTTCCACTTTATAGAATGACAAAATAGCAGCCCTTCATTTCCTTCTCCTAGTTTTCTTAAATTAAGCCAGTGCTCTTGTTTTGTCTTTATTAGAACAATAGAGCCAATGCTTTCGAAGTGTCTATTGAATGAGAAAACAATTTAAATAAGTTAAATTACTTATTAAATTGTAGGCAAGTTTTTTTTTAACCTTAAATCCCATTCCTTACTATAGTTCTCAATTGCTATTTTAATTTTAAATGCTATTAGATATCAAAAAGATATTTTGGACTGGACAAAGTGATCATTTATTCAACAAAAATTAAATGGTTGCTTCAAGCATACGAAGATGAATGTAGCAAAATGTCCACCCTCAAGAAGCCTACAGTCTACTGCAGTAGAAAACCACAGCCCCACCAATAACTGTAAAATGATACAATAAATATGACCATAGAGACTGCCTAGCAATATTATTGTGGCTTCAAAAAAGACTATCAAACACAGAAGGAAGTGAGTGAGGACTCTGGACACTTCAAGGCTACTTCTTGGAAAAGGTTATTGATGAAAAGAACAAAAAGGGCTAAGGAACAGATTCCTGTAAGAGGTGTATGCTGGGGTCTCCCAGCTTGCCCCAAGCTTGAAGTTTTACAGGACTCAACATGTTTCACAGCTATACCTTATAACAGTAAGTGTGCAAAGCAAAATCAACCAGGGAAAAAGGGTACAGCAGAACACTGTACTATACAGGCCTTGACACAAATAACCTCAGGGAAGCAGAAATTACTTAGAGGCACCCTTGCAGGAGTGACTACATTATCTGAAGGGGCACTCTTTGGAGGACAGACCAAATTTTACGCTGGAAGAAGAAACATGAACTAAAATATCCTGTTGTGAACCTATAGCCATGGTGACCAGAGGCAGCAGTTTGGTATGGCAGGCATCTTCTGTTGCATGAGCTAGGCAACACTCAGGAACTGGCTGAAGCTAGAGATGGAGGCTTGGAATCATGAGCTTTGACTTTGTCTATCAGTAATAGAGGACTAACAAAAGTTCAGCAGGAGTGGGAGAAGATCAAAAGTCATCTTGAAAATCTAACACTAGTTGATGAGGCTCTCAGAAGATCAACTGCCCCCATGTGCCCTTGTGACTAAGGCAACATGGTGTGGTGGGAAGCATTGACTTTGGGATTCCAGTGTCCCAGTCCCAGCTCTGTCATGTACAAGCTATGTGACATTTGTCCACTTAACCTCCTGTGCTTCGATGTTTTCCCTTCTTAAAGTGAACAATAACAGTTTGCAACTGCATGGTATTCAAATGAGAATTAAAAGATTTACTTGTATTTCATTAAAGAGAAGGCACGGTCAACTGCAAGACACATCAGGAAACAGAAAACACTGCCAATAAAATTATGACTCAATACTTTCTCATCACTTAAAATTTCAGCATAGCTGTGATTTGGAGACAGTTTTTTTCCTTTCTATTTTACTATTTATGTATACATAAAAAGCAAAATATAAATGAAATAAATTTATGGTTGTTCTGAAGAAGGTATTTAATTCTGAACCTTCATTCTCTCCCAGTTGCTTCACTGATAGAAATTTTGGTCTTTTCCTGACTTTATGAATATATGCTGTCTTTTGGTTTCAGTGCTGAATCATCACATAATCATTCCACAATGTTTTAACACTTCAATTCAATATAGATGCCAACAATGCTTATAACTCAGCACTGAGTTGTGGTGCACACACAGACAAGTATGACTTTGGTAAGACACACAAGGACAGTGTGACTCTGCCGAGCTGGCATCAGGGCAGCCACCAGGACTTCCCTGTTTCAGGGAGGGTAAAATCTGGAAAGATATCAATGCAATATAGTAAGGCAAGGGGTAGCGCTTCCCAACCTCTCTGCTGCAGCAGTCCTTCCCAAAGCCCTGTAAGAGGTCTGGAGATACTCACACAATCATACAGTTGAGAAACTTGTCCTTAACTTAGGAAAGAAGGTTTTCAGTCAATGACCTAAGCCTCCATTTTAAGAATCTAGAAAAATAAAAGTGGATTAAGCTAAAATTTAATATATATATATATATATATATATATATATACATTAAAGAAATATTTAAGATAGGAAAGCAGCAAACTAAAAAAACAAACTACAAAACAATCCAAATCGAAAGTCATTTCCTTTGAGAGATTTATGAAATTTATTAACCCCTAGTAAGGCAGATGAAGAAAAATATTACAAAGTATAAAAATCTTTAATATCATTAATTAAAAAAAGATATCACCCAACAAATATTTTTAAAGAGACTAAAAGAAATACTATGAGTAATTGTACAGCAATAAATTAGACAACTAAATGAAATAGACATATTTTGAAGAACACATCATACCAAAATCGGTGTAGAATAAATAAAAAGTTAAGATAATGACATACATATATAAGTGGTAGGCAGACTCAAAAGTCTGTATGGTAGTTATCCCTACTTGCTCCCTGTGTCCTTAGGAAAATTGCCTCCCATAAGAATAGGTAAAACTTGTAACTTACTTTGCAGGAAGAGAAGGGAACCTTGATGAGCTGTGATCACCACAATTACGCTAAATGAGATTTAAACTTCCATTTTCTTAGCTGACCCACCCCCATTGGCGTTGATGAAGTTGCTGTGTAGACAGTTCACATGACAAGGAGCTAAAAGAAGCCTGTGACCTACAATGGGCAAGAAGATGAGGCCACATATCCAAACCAGAACTGGTCCACATTGAATAAACTTAGTAGCAGCTCCTTTTCCACCTAAACCTCCAGGTCACCTTTGAGTCACTCTGAAGCAGGAGACTCAGCTAAGCCACACCTGGACACCTTTCACCTCGTGAAAGCATGAGACAAGATGTTAAGTGTTTGTTGCTGTATGCTTCTAAGTCTGTGGGAATTCGGATAGATAAATAATAAAACCCTATTTTTAATTTCATGAATGATTTAAAAAATTTTTTGAAGAAAAATTTAGGCCCCCCAAAACTCAACTGATAAATTCTATTAAACACCCAATGAAGATATAGTATAAATCTAATAAAAATTATTTTAGAGTGCAGAGGGGTAAGGTATACTTTTCAACTGATTTCATAAGGCCACCATAACCCAGAAATTAAAACCTGATAAAGATATTACAAGAGAAAACAGTTATAAATGAATACATAGACTGCTGGATATTGTTATAAATTTCTTTCACTAAAATTAATAAATTGAATTTAGAAATACATACAAAGGAAAATATACCATAATCAAGTAGGTTTATCCCAGGAATGGCAGGTTGAGCCAATATCTGAAAAATCTATCAATGTAATTTATCACATTAACAAAACAAATGACATAAAAAAAATCTCAGTC